GTAAATTTTTGTTTTCTACGTATAATTAAATTGTGTTTCAGCATCACCAATAATAATGCCTACCAGGTGGTTAGTCACAGTTTCCAGTTATTCCCAATCCATCAAATGGAGGAATAGCACCACAATTTTTTAGAAGGTACCAAACAGAAATAATTTGTAAGTGGGATTTAAACATATTTTATGACCGCTTAACTTTGTAATTTATTTAAAACAGTTAACTTTAAAGAGACATAAATAGATATTTATGTTACACCACTCAATGTGTTATTGAGTGGTGTAACACATGGGTGTGGCATGGTTTGATTAAGGGTATAAAATGGGAAGGGGAAAACTGGTCATGAGTCGATAAAGTAATAGATATATGTAAATAATGTACATGTAATAAGGGGCCCCACCTACCTGGGGTAATCTTTGTGATTTTTCATTGATCTTCATTGGATCAAACTTTTTAAAATCAACTTTTACATAGCTTCTCAATAATTTTTCTATGTATTTATTGCAGTTCACATCATGCAACAGTTTCTCTCTTTTTCCCCCTTCAGCCACAGCCGAGATTTGGGCTGCTGTTCGACATTGATGGCGTGCTCGTCCGAGGACGGATGCTAATCCCTGCAGCCAAACTGGCTGTTGAGAAGTTGGTCGACTCTCAGGGAAGGTTTGTGGTGCCAGTTGTTTTTGTCACTAATGCAGGGAACTGCCTCCGACAAACAAAAGCAGACCAGCTCTCTCACATTTTGGGAGTGCCTGTGAGTTACAAAACACACTCCGTCCTTTTGATTGGTCTGGTTTACCCTGACATTTCTGCTAACATTACTTGCTCTACTTTCAGATTACACAAGACCAAGTCATCATGTCCCATAGTCCCCTGAGGATGTTCAAGAAATTCCACGATAAATGTGTCCTGGTGTCGGGACAGGGGCCTGTCCTGGAAATTGCTAAAAAGTATTAATAAATTCTACCCTTTTTGCATTGCTTCTTAATTGTTATTTCCTAAGCAAGACCTAAAGGTTAAACTAATTCTTTGTTAAATTCCTGTATTTAGTGTTGGCTTTAAGAATGTTGTCAGTATTGATATGGTGAGGGAGTCATACCCCTTGCTGGACATGGTGGATCACAACAGACGTCCCAAACTGCCGGTGAGATATTGCAATATTTGCTGAAAATGAGATGTTTTACAAAGAAATCCCCATATTTTGATTATATAATAAATATGTCTTATCATATAAAACAAAATGCATTGAGATTATTTTCTCTTGTTTCAGTCCACTCCTGTTGTCAGCCTTCCTAAAGTTGAAGGTATGAACAAATGTTCTTGCACTTCCTTCTCAGCGTTATACTTTTGCCATGTCAGATGTTGTATTCACTGATTTAATCTTGTATCCAGCTGTGGTTTTGTTCGGGGAGCCAATCCGATGGGAGACAAACCTGCAGCTGATAATTGATATTTTATTGACCCACGGTAACCTCAACAGTCCCCACCAAACCCATGCGGTACCTCACCTCCCCCTGTTGGCCTGCAACATGGACCTGATGTGGATGGCAGAGGCAAACTCCCCAAGGTAATCTTCTTGTAAAGATTGATGCTGACACATTTTTTTTTGATCTAACAAATCGGATATTGTTGTTTTTTATTATTATTATTATTTTTATTTTTTTTTATTTTTTATTTTTTTAGGTTTGGCCATGGAACGTTTCTTGTGTGCCTGGAGAACATTTATAAAAAGATAACTGGCAAAGACCTGAAGTACGAGGCACTCATGGGAAAGCCCAGCGAGCTGACGTACCATTTTGCGGAGTATCTCATCAGAAGCCAGGCCATGCAGAGACAATGGAAACTTCCCATCACTTCCCTTTATGCTATAGGGTGAGTCCTTTTATCTCTGCAGACAGTTCCCACCTAAGTAATCAAAGAATAGAAAGAAAGACAAAAACTACTGACCTAAATGGTGCGAAAATAATCACACCTTTATTAAACTATGGTGCGACACACCATAGTTTATATAATATACGTTATTATACATTTAATAATGTATCATAAAGTAACTAAACTAACGGGCTTAGTTTAGTTACTTAAACTAAGCCCTTTTAAGTAACTACAAGTAATGTTTCAGTTTAACTCGTAGCACTAAAGTCCATTATAAATGTATTTACTTTCTTTTTTTTTTTCACATTTTATCTTGTCACAACTTTTGCGCTGATAAATTTTGCTGGATGACAAATTGTTCCAGCAATATTATTGTTTTTGATAATATTGTTTTAAGACCACTTTAACATAAACAATAAACTTTAATTTCCAACAAGCATTTATTTCTGGAACTGGAAGTCATCTTAAATGTATAAAATAAGTTAACAAACAATTGAAATGACAAATAAAATCTGAAGTCTCCGTAAACAAAATTGCCCTTCACAAAAGGGGATAGTTGAGACCAAAGCATCACACTCAAATCTTTTGTCATCCAGTAAGGAGGAAAGAGAGAGAGACAAGAAAAACAAACAGCTCCTGCAAATGGAAATTATTGAGCTTGTTTTAATTTATCATGCGATTAATTGATTTATTGCAACAGGCTTAACTACATCATTTAATTTCATTGGGATTTTATTAGTTAGACCTGCACAAAGTAATGCTTATAATAACTTTATTGTATTCCCAACTTACTCATACGCATAATTCTAAATATGTTCAACTAGTTCAACCAATCGGCTTTGGAGGTTGCCTAATTGGCAAATAAAATTCACCTTTGTGTAGCTTAATCAAATTAGAAATACATGTTTTCCGTCAAGGATTGTCAGAGATCATTAGTGAACACACAGCATTGTGAAGAGCAAAGAACACAGGAGATAGGTGAGGGAAATATTGTGGATAAGTTTAAAGAAGGATTAAGTTATGAAATAATGCCCCAACCTTTGAACATCTGGTCAAACATCTGGTCAAGTGCTGCTTAATCTGTCTTCCAAAAATAATAATAGGGTATGGGACACCTGCAAATCTACCTAAACATGGGCATCTTCACTGATTTGCAAGAACTCTTTACTGTTAATTCTACACTCTATAAAGAGCTGCCAGAAGAAAGTAATTAAAAATCCAGTTTGCCACAAGTGATAAAGGAGACAGAGTGAATGAATGGAAGAAGGAGCTCTAGTCAAATCCGACCAAAACTGAACCTTTTGCTCTGAGAGAAATGGAAACCTAACATCATCCTAACTACAAACGTGGTTCCACTAACATGGAATACTGAAATGTGTATTAGAATGAGCTAATGTTTGAATTTCTGCTGCAGTTGAGCTGGTGGAGACATACTTCTGCAGTGTAAGTAGGGTCTGCAAAGTGTTGACTCACTAAATATAAATAAATGCCACACCATTCTTATGGATGTATGATTCCGTCACGTTCATATGCTTACACACACACATTGCTGCATGCTTACATAACCATAAAATATAAGGCTGGCGACAGTCACATACATAGAAAGCTGATTAAGACAGGTCAGCACCTGTCTTTAACAGCTGTTGGTCTATCATATAAAATCCCAATAAAACACACTGAATTTGGGGCTGTATCAAGGCAAAAGGTAAAAAAAAAACATTCAGAGGGTATCAATACATCTGCAAGGTAGTATGATTCTGTAACTCTTCCCTATTTTTCCCCACTATCGTAGTTAAACAGACCAATAGAAGACAAACCTGTTTTGGCATTTTTATTTATTTTAATTTCCCTCCTTTTCCATTGCCAGTGATAACCTCATGACTGATATATACGGAGCCAACATGTACAATCGCTTCCTGGAGGAGAGAGCCGCCATTAAGAACCCCAAAGCTGTTGCCCAGGTGGTGGCTGCCACCGGGTCCAGCACCGCCATGCCCGGGGGTGAGGAAGAGTTCGACAGCATGTGGGAAAGTGAGCTCGCTCTGCCCTCTGCCACCTCCTGTAAGTCCGTCCTGGTTTGCACGGGGGTCTACAATCCCAACGCAGAGGTGCCGTCCGATGCCAGTCGCTGCATCAAAGAGACCGTGTTCCACGGTCACCGGGACTTCAGGTTTGACCCCGCGCTGGTGGAGCCAAACTACATTGTGCAGGACGTGGCGGAAGCTGTGGACCTCATCTTCCAGCAGGAAAAGTTTGTGCCTCATTAGTGATTTGAGTCTCAAAAGGTTCTGTGTACCACACACGTGTGGTACAGCATTAAGCTGGGAAACGCACCACTTAATACAAGGAGCTGTTGGAAGGGCATCACTGTGGACTTTGAGTAATGAACTGACAGACAGGGCATTAACATCATATAGGTCATCTTGTAAAGACAACAACATAAAGACAGATTTAAGAGAACATGAATCATTTAACTGTGACCGCCATGTGGTTTCGGTGTCGTCTTTAACAGTGTGTTTTTCGTAAGGAAACATGTTATAGCTGCCTTATTTGACCATGGTTAGTTTTTAGATGATCAGCTGATCTAGAGTACAAGATTTTACCAGTGTTTTAGGAGAGTGTATTACAAGAACATGTGACTTTCATTAATCCCCTTTTAGACCTATGTTTACTCAGTTTACCCTTAAAGATCTATGCATGAACACAAGAGGAATAGATTTACTATAAGTCCAGCTGTTTGATGTGCAATATTGTTCCTTCAGTTGTATTGTCTATCCACATTTTGTCTTGCTATGAGAGCCATAACCAATATTTGCACAGATTTTTAACTTTTGTTAAAAGTTGCTGTTTTCCTGCCATACCGTGTGTTGTTTAGTGTCCAACCTCTGTTTTGTGCTCTCAGATTTTTATTCCAGAGACAAAAGCTAACAGCACATCAATTAAGTCACACGTAAAGCCTTTACCAACTCATTTTTGCTGTAATTACCTTACCTTGGAAAAGAATATAAAGAATAATTGCAAAGTGAACTTAATGTGTGTTTTTCTCTGACACATTATTAGCAAATTCTTAAAAAGTGCAAACAAACATGTTCTTTTGATAATGTTAAAAGTAATAACGAAGCGACTTTTTTTTATCTCAGCTATGTATTTGACTTGTGGTTACAATAGAAGGGAAACAGTGGCTGGTCAATCGATATACAAAATTTAGGCAATTGTTTAGAGCAATTTTAAAGCACAATCAAGTAACTATACCAACTTCAGTTGTTATAAAAATGATGTATATATCAAATATAACTAAAAAAAAAAATTTGACTTCACAATTTGATGTCTTGAAATTGGACCTATGTCTCTTTAAGAAGCGCCCATTCTTTTAAACACTGCAGAGGATATCTAAAACATGCATGAAAGAGTCAAAGCATCACACCAAGTATGTTTTCAATGAGGGAATAACACATGATGTAAAGCTAAAAAAGTTGTTTTTACATAACACCCAGCCCCCTTTAACAATTACAGTTCTTTGACATGTTAATGTCTGTACCAAAATGTTTTTTTTTTTTTCTTAGTCATTCCAAAATCTTTAGTGTCAGCTCATGCTGTTATGTAATAAATACTGACCACTAAGAGGAACAGATTTTGCAAGCTGTGACCTTCAAGGCAGTAGCGTGAGAAACCAACATAATTATTTGGCTGACTTTGGTTTAAATCCAGCTTAAGCCCATGCAAACACAGAAATGAAACAACAGTTGCAGGAAACAAGAAACAATGGTTGGTCTTCCCTTTGATGAATAGTCTGTACTTGATCAGGATTCTCTCACTTGGTGCGCCAATGATTTACGTTAATGTTTACCAGTCAATTTTGCTTATATGAGCTAAGCCAGATCAGTCCATCCAATGAAGAAAACAAGCTATGTCCAGGCACAAGCTAGTAGGCTGTACTGACCTTCCCTTTTGCCTTATAAAGCTAACATTTTTGCTGTGGAAGGGGAAAAAACAGATTTTTTGAAATAAATAAAACTCTAATAAGTGTAACGAACATCAGTATTTAACCTTTTTACTCTTACTCCTAAATAAAATCTACTTTGTTGCCTTCAGAAGTTACTGAAATAGTAAAGTGTCTCTATTTGTGTGCAGTTTAACCTCAGTATAATTGCATCTGCTTAGTGAAGGCCTCAGAGGTCTGTTAGAGAACATCAGTGAACAAACAGCATCATGGAGCTCAAGGAACAATACAGACATTATAGGCTTTGAATTGATTGGAGCATTATTGAATCTATCTGAAAATAGGTGTTATGTGGGACCTACCTAGATATGGTTTCCCACTTAGATTGATAGACACAACAAAGAGAATGTCGTTTAAAGAAGTAAAGAGGTTTTAGGTAATGCTGGAGAAGACTCTGAGAACAGGGCAGTTAATAATCATGCTCTACCCAAATCAGGTTTTTGTAGAAGAGTGGTAAGAAAAAAGCCATTGTTCAATGAAAACTTTAAGAGCTATAAGGGGAAAGGAAAACATGTGATCATAGTAAATTATGAAAAATAGTAGTAAGTACCCCTACATTAGGATGTTTATGGAAGGTAAATAGTTCAGTATTGATAGCAGAAGGCAAAGTGCAATTGATTGTAAGGAACTGAAGAAAAATTAAAAAGCAAGTTTTCACATTTATTTAAGTAAAATTAAGTCTGGATCGTAAAATATAAAAACAAATGAAGTAAAACTCAGACAGAGGTGAAGTTTCTGATAAATGGGCTGGTGCAGTTAAGAACGGAAACAAATTATAAAAACCCATGTAGCGTCTTTGCAAACCCTCACAGCCTCACTTCCCGCTTCTTACTTATTTGTAGTTCTGCTAAAGTATGAATAAAAGTCTGTTAATTGGCCTTTATCTTTATATTGTGCTTCTTGTGTAATGTTTCTAGCACTTGTGGGAGTAACTCCATGTTGGACTTGGAGATAAGTGGCCTCTCTAGGTCCTCGGACAAAACGACAGATTCAGAGTCGGCGCTGAGCTCCGACAGTTCTGGGTGCAGCCTCCTCCTGTGTTTGGGTTTCAGTGAGCGCAGAGAGTCCGCCTCAAATCCTGAATGTCGCTCTTCCACGTATATGGTGAAAGTAGATTTTCTGGCAAGTATTAAGCTCCACAAAAGCAGAATAATAATGCAGCACAGCATCACCGATGCGATGGTGTTGTAAGAGACATAAACACAGCCTGAGGTGCTTGTTTGATGTACGAGTGGAAAGGTGCAGTAGGAGAAGTAGGCATCACTTAGGTCAGTGATGGCGTTCTGAGCTACAGAGCCTGGACTGGAACATAAAGGCTCCTCTGAGACAACAGCCCTGTTCTTCAGCAGCCAGTACCTCAGGTACTGGATGCTACAGTCACAGCGGAACGGGTTCGGAGACAGGGACACCTTTCTAAGGTTAGCCAACCGGTCAAACTTTCCTGGTGGCACTGAGGTGAGCCGGTTGTCTTGCACAAACAGTTCTGTGGTCTCTGAAGGCAGATGAGGCAACTCCATGAGGTTTAAAGAGCTGCAGTTGACTCTCAACCCAGATGGCTGGAGCTCTGAAAACACACAGGACTGGACAGTTCTCTGGGCACTTGATGAGGCCAGGAGAAGATAAACAGCTAAGGTCACACTGTGGAGCAGCATCCTGTAGGAACAAGTAACGTAAGTAATAAAAGGTTTTGTACAGTTCAGCTCACAAGGTACATTTGTGGTCAGAGGTTTACATACACATCTTGAGCATGAGTAAAAATTTTAATTTGGGCATTTAACATATGTCAAAAAAAATCTTTAGAGACAAAACTATACTTAAATATAGTTTTGCAAATATGTACAAATATGTACATATACTGCATTTACTATTTAGTGTAATGTCCCTTAAGATTTATGGATAAGCAAAGTTTTTGTAGCCGACAGCAAGATCTGCAGCATATAATTCTGGCTGGATATTTGACCATTCTTCTGGTTAGAAATTGTCGAACTTGTTTACGCCAGCTGGTTTATTTAAATATATATATATATATATTTTTTAAGATATCTCCAACTTTGAACTCTCTTCATCATATTTATGTTGCAGCAAATTGTAAGAGATATCAACTAAGGGCACTTAGACAGGCTCAGTTTATAGCTACAGCATTAAATTAGCTCCACATTTAGTTCAGATAACTGCAATTTATAATTATAACTATCCAGTCCAAACATATAGTCAAATTTGTGTCCAATTGCATACAGTGCAGGTCAAGGTTAATAATAAAACCACACGCTCAAAGGAAGTGGATATATTTTTGCCAGTTGGTAAACAGTTATCGAAAGAAACACAGAACCTAAAGTAAACACAAAAGTGCTAGTCCAGGAGGACTTTCTATGTTAAAGAAAGGTTAATTGTAGTTATGGCTCTATTAGTGGCTTCATGTACTCACTAAAAAGTTAAACAAAAACCTGAAGAATTATCTATGGGATGGAAAATGAAAAGGATAATATTGTTCAATGATTTGGTCCAGAAAACTGTCATAGTTAAAGATGGGATCTTTGGGTCATTAAAGAAATACTTCTGAAGTTTGTTTTTAGGTCCTTGTGCCGTTGTGTCAAAGTTCACTCAATCTGACTCAAACTGTTACACTCCAATGAAGTAATATTTATGACAATAAAAAAAAAAAAAAAATCAGTTCAAATTCAATTAAAAAAAAAAAAACCTTATTGATCCCAAAGGGAAATTAAATAAAATTCAAAACCAAGGAAATTGAAAACAAGAACCACTACAGGTTCAAGTCTATCATAAACCAAAAGATGCTTCAATACCAGAACTACGGTCTGCAGTGAAGAATGTGCAACATTTATAGGATTAAGACAGAGCTGACCAGGGAGGAAGCACCTGTTCCAAAAATGACGTCTTCCTGCAAGATTGCAATCTGTTGCCCACATTGTAAAGCCAGATGTTTTTCTAAATATGTAGTGGGGTGATACAAAGATTGAACTGTTTGGAGGAATCAAAATGATTTTTTTATGGCCTAAAGAAATGCATCATGATGAGCCGATTTGACTGTATGGGTTCACTGACTGAACAACCCAGGTTTTCTTAATTCTGAGGGATCGATGATCGGCCCTTGCTGCATGTGAAATCAATCTCATCCACTAATCCTATCTACCTTCACAAAGATCTGAAAACCAGCCACTGTTCCTTTCTGCTCTGCTGTGACAGAGGACTGACTGACAGACCCGGCCACCAGGTCATATGCAAACTTTTCATTTATGTTTTATATATGGAAGCACTACCTTGTGCAGCAAAAACAGTTTTGTATAATTTCATGAGTATTGTTAAACTTTTTTTTTTTTCAGTTAAAGAAGATTGGGATATTGAAGGCATATTGTAGGCAGTTAAAAAACTAATTATTGATCAAAATCAAAATTGGCAGGTGAGGATTCTTAAAGATTAGTGATTGGTCAGAAAACTTCAAAATAGGTGCATAAGAGAATGAAATAATAAAACATGACACCCACTTCTTTAAGCACACCTCAAACGAAGTAAAAGTACAAATGTTCTCAAGACTATGAGTTCCAAAATGGCGATCATCCCAAACCTGCATCAAAACTGGTTATCAGGACAGATGAAATGTCCCTGGTCTGAAATGTAGTAATACAAAAACTTATGGGTGATGCTTTAAAGTGGGATCAACTTGTATGCTGGGACACCATCCACTTCTAACTGACTTTACCAATTGCAAAGAAATACAGGTTACATATTCAGCCAGAACTATGAATTTTGCCAGAGTCTTTTTGATGACTACAATTTATGTTTCTCTGCAACATAATATCAGTGGAGTGTATGCATAATTTTGACCCTGTGTGGAAACAATAAATTCCCTTTGTTTTTGTTTGTTTTTTTTGGTTTGTTTTTTTTATCATATTCCCCCACTCAAAAATAATTCAGATGCAAAATGGAAATTCTAAAATTTGTATAAAATCCATGCAGTTGACGAGTTTATTTAAATTTTTTGACTGACACTCTCAAGACCAAAAAGAGCTAGGCCTATAACGTTCAATAAATTTTTACTAAACACAACACGTACAAAAAATGTAACAGTAGTTTGACTTCACAAATCCCCCCAAAAAAAAAAAAAAAAAAACAAACCTTTCTGTGTCAGGCCAATCTCAAGATTTCTTCTGCTGATGCCAGTCATCCTTATGAACTGTCTGCTGTTGTCCAGTTTGAACATTAGGAAGATCTTCTGAAACTTTTCCCCCTCCTAACTGATGCGTAGTGAGCACAGAGATATAAAACCTCAAATTGAACAGCGTCGGGGTGAGGAGTGCACCAATAGCACCGCACAGTTATAGCTCACATGACATGAAGGAAGTCCGTCTGCTTTGAAGTGATAAGAGTTATCTATGAATATGTTAGCTGAGGCTTTCCAGTGAATGCACTGTAACCATTCACTGCATGGCTCGAGGCTGGGGATAACGGAAAAGTACAAATGGAAGCCTTGTGATATATTACATTGCTGATTGTATGTGCTAAAACCTACACCATCTGAGCCTAAAGACATGCTTCTGTTATGTAGTTTGGAAAAGTAAGATTATACGCTTCCACCAAAGAAATTCTGCAGTCATACTTTCGACCTATAGGTGGTGTAACAGTGCAACGGTCCCATTTTTTCCTAATTTAAATTTAACAGATGCCCTCTAGTGGAAATATAGAAAGTGATGTTTTAACGCTCCCCTGTTGTGGAAATTAAAACGGTGAAGTTCCTGAATCTTTTCAATACCAGATCAAAACTGAAGCAAAAATGGAAATTAAATGAAATGCAACTGGTCTGATGATGAAAATCGTCTAATGTCACAAACATTTGAGTACTAATCCACTGAACATCTCGCTTTAGCTGAGGGGATTTGAATTTTCTGACCTGATTATGCCCCTTCTCTTTTAAACATTTTTACCTGATATATTGCATGCAGAATTGGTGTCTTTCTTTGATAGATTTTAAATTCAATCTTTAAAGAACAATGTCAGGACAGGATACGAAAAGCAAAGATTCATATCTTGTTTTATTACTGTACATAAAGAAGAGACATATTATATTCTTTAATAAAATGAGTAGGTATAATTGGTCTAACTTGTTAAATGTATTTTTCACTATCCATTGCATACGGGCCTGCAGAGGTTACTGTATATGAACTTCAAACACAGCAGGGGGGAGTCTGAACATGACGCTGATCTAAGAAATGAAGTGTACACACTTCAATCAGTCACACCTGCCTAGTCAGGAGGAATGGGAAGACTTTCAAAAACATTTGATGCAAGTTATACAACCTAAAAGACAATTCTACCAAATACTACAAAATTGTAAGCAAACTCATGCACCGGAATACGTTTTTTTTGTTTGTTTTTTTTTTTTTTTAAATCTGTCATTATTCTGGCATTTAGCAAGAAGAAATAATTTGGATGATTCTGTCTGAAAAGTGAAGTCAAATATCATCTTCAGATGTAGAGAAAAGCAAAAGTTTTTACTTTTACCATTTGTGTAAATATCTGTTTCCCCAACTCGTTTTTCTCTCCTTTACAGCAAGCTACCACAAAGAAGTCCATTAATTTACCAACGGAGAAACACAGCCAATGTACCATAAGTCATATATTTGTTTATTTTGCGTTCTCAACATTGTCACAGTTGAAGTTTTACAATAACTGGGGTCTTACTGACTCACTATTCACTGTACAAACAGAATGCACATTTAAATGAGGCCATTCCTGTCGTTTCCTTTCTTCAAAACGCGTCACTCGTCAGATCGAACAGCTCGCAGCCGGTTGTGTGTACATTTGTTTGTGTGCGCGTGTGAGACTGTGTTTGTTTGTGTGTATTTGCATGTATGAAAGGAAAACTGCATGTAATTGATGGCAGCACACTTCCTATAACAGTCTGGTTTTGATTTCCACAGCAAATCTCAGTTCACAACTGCTGGAGGAAGAGAGAGTCGATCGGTTTAACCAGCACTGCTCCCGTCCGTTCAGGAGGCGACATGTACATCCTGATCTCAACTGCAGATGTCAGAGTAGAGCACTGGAAATATAGACATTATGTACATCTCCTTTTACCCCAGTTTTGGTCCCTTTACAGTCTTCACAAAGCTGAACTCTCTAATCAAGCAGTTCATCAGCTTGCACAACAGATTCCTCTATTTACACAATAAAAGCCCTCAGCGACGAAGTGCAACGTTTTCTCTTTATCTTCTTCTTCTTCTTCTTCCATGTTTGTAATTTACAAAATGGCTTTGTAGATGAAATGCATGCTGAGCTTCAATAACTACCAGGCAAAAAACATGGAACGACAAGGACACACGCCACCATCGTAGAGTTCCAACTTATTCAGAACCAAAAAAAGAAGAAAAGAAGTCCAACATGTTATAGGCTGATCTCTTCCCCATCAGCTCACAGTGAATAGGACGCATGATGCATCAGATCCATGCAGTGCATTGTTGGGGTACTTTTGAAAAAACAAACAAACAAACAAAAAAAACAAACAAAAAAAAAACCTCAAACATTTAAAGCACGACAACACACCAAAATAAACAGTTGCATCAGTTTCACACCATTTCCAAAAATTTCAGAATTATAGCAAAGATATGAAATTATCAGAAAAAGACACATTCAGCGTATCATTAATGTCCCGCGTGTGATATGTCTGTCGTCTAAAGGAAAAAAAAACAAAAAAAACAAGATAATGTGTGAGCCCGACTTCTGTGGATTTCTTCATGAATATTAAAATACATTTTATAACCTGAATATTGGGACAAACAGCTTACTGTCACTAATTTACACACTAGAATAGACTCTTATTTGTAGAATATAGAAAGATAATCTTTACATATACCCAGTTCTTCTGTTTAACTTGCATTTGTGTAGGTTATAACTGCAATTCCTGAAAAAAATTGAACTGTCCTTTTATATGTGCTTGTCCAGCGAAATATTTCTGTTTCCTTTTTATTAAAATATATACACACATTCTTCTTTCCACTCTGAAGTGTCTAGGTACTTTTACGTCTTTTTAAAAGAACAAAGAAAAAGTTTTTTTTTTTTTTTTTTTTTTCACCTGAATCTCATCCTGGACAACAAGACGACAGACTTTCACTCTCAAGTACAAGCCTGCATGATTGCACTTAAACTTACCATGGTAACACTGATTTGTTATACAATGTGCAGAGGATAGCCTCACATCAAAAACATTACATGCAAAACAAACAAAAACCTTACAAGACATTCCACTGAGCTCCAAGTCTGTACCCCTCATAAGACCACGAGGATAGGCGGACAATTTACAGAGAGAAAACGACGCAGACAGGGGGGGTCAAAGAGAAAATAAATAAATAATAATGACGCAAAATGACAAACGCTCAAACAAGAGGGGGGAGACCTTGCTTGCTCTTGATGTACAAAATCAGTACAAAGATATTGCACGTTTAATAGAAAAAAAGACAAAAAAAAAAGAAGTCCACCAAAATCGACTTGGCGAATGAAAATAATAATCTGAACAAGGCAAAAACGAAGATTTCAGGATATTTTCTCTGCTGATTTCGAAAGCGAAGAAAACAGCTGCTGCATATCGACTTTATTTCAGACTATTTGTAACAGAAACAGAAATGTTACCTTTTAAAAATATAGTTTTGCACTAAATTCTTCATTCTGAGCTTTTTTTTTTTTTTTTTAGGGGAAACGTCTCCTTCAGGAATTCAACTCTGATCAAACTGTGTTTTTCGATGTCAAATATGCAGCAGCTGCCATCTATAGGCTTTGTTTTGGGTGTTTATTATTATTATTATTATTTTAATTCACCAGAAAGGCAAAAAAGCTTTAAAACAGATCATAGGCCTTGACCGGACCAGGCCCGGGCAAAAGGGGAGTTTGCTCCTTTTTCAGATCTACAACCCGTCACTTGAGTCAGCTTAATACTGATAGACGCCATTTTTGCTGATAATAATTGTAAGTATAATCTTACAAATTACTTTACACACAATATACTGTACATGAAGTCTCGACTAAATAGATTATGCGTTAATAATTGGCACATTTATTTAATGAGAGCTAAGACACAAAACGTATAGCTGTCGTGTACAGTAAATACAGCACTAGAACTACTATGAGTTGTTTAGCTGTCCGTTGACAGTGTGAAATGCTTATATATATGTTTTTTTTGTTTTTTTTTGTATTATATATGAGCTCTAGAGGAGGCGACAACAAATAGCATTCACATGATGGCAGGATTTGCAAAAACCAAAGACTCAACAGCTGAAATTCTGAAATTGTGAAAAAAACAAAACAAAACAAAAAAAAAACAGTCAAACATGTTCTCATCGTAGGGCTTCCTTCCTCCTGATTATGTAATGGTAGGTAAATGTGGGGATAAAGCAGCAGGTTGGAGCTTGTGGAAATTAAACAGCATCTTCCTGTGCAGACCGCCCAAACCCTCCACACGCAGAAGCCCCAAATCAGGCAAACTAGTGAAGGCCCCTATTGGAAGATTTGAATCCGTTTTCTATCCTGCATATCAGTTGGACCTGGAAGTGAAAGCGGTGTCTGGGTGTGACTGCTTCCCAGCACAGCAGCTGAAACACAGTGGACAGGCCATAGAGTTATGCTGTCAGTCCCTTTGGTGTGAGCGATTGTCCTTCCTTCATAAAGTCTCCTCCTTTGTCTTCCCGTCTCTCCGCGCGAGGAGCATCACACTACGGTGCTGATGCCACTGTGTTTGGGTTTGTGCCCGCCGTGTGCTGGGCCCGCCTGCTGGCCGTGGTGGTGAGGGTGCTGGGCGTGGTGCGGGTGCTGGCTGTAGTGGCCGTGCTGCGAGTGGTGGTGCGCGTGCGAGGAGTAGGCCGGGTGCTGGTGGTACTGCGTGTGGGGAGGCGGGTGGTAGTGGTGGGGGTGGGGGTAAGGCGGGGGGTTCTGCGGGACCTGACAGTACTGGGGGTGTGGGCCGTGTAGCTGCGCCTGCACCGTGTGCACCACCTGGGCCGTGTGATGCAGGTTGGTCGGGTGCGGCTTGTGCGATATGAGGGTGGGGTGGCCGGGCGGCGGCAGAGGGGGCTGGCTCTGAGACGAGGGCTTCCCCCGCTTGCTGCCGAAGAGCGACCCAAGGATGGACGTTGATGCCGAGTTGGGGATGGAGGGATGGCCGCGGGAGGAGCCCTCACGTGCTGTTGTAGGTCTCCGACGTGTGTGCGGACTGCTAATGATGGACCCCTGGAAGAGGAAAAAGTGAACAAATAAATAAACTAAAGCTGTGAAGCATTACTAGGACTATAGTGCCCTGCAATGCTATTCAGATCCCTTGAACAATTCTACCTTTTCTCAGATTACAACCACAAACCAAAGGTATAATTGGGAAGCTGAAGGGAAATGATGCAGTGGTGTGGTGTGGATTTATATTCGGTCATTCTGAGTGAAAACTTTGGACCTCCTTTCAGTGCAACCACAGCTATAAGTCATTTGAGGTGCATCTCTACTGGCTTTGCTCATCCAGAGACTAACTGCCCATCCTTCTTTGCAGAACACCTTAAGATCAGTTAGATTAGTTTGACATTACCTATGAATATCTGCCTTCAAGTCTTTTTTTTTTTTTTTTTTTTTTTTTAAACAATTGCTCAATTTGATGTAGCACTACACCAGGAGTCCTCAAAACCAGGGTGGTGTCCTGCAACTTTTATATACATCTCTGCTTCAACACACCTGAGTCAAATAATGATGTCATTAGCAAGACTCTGAAAACTTGTCTGCATACCGAGGAGGTAATTCAGCCATTTGATCCAGGTGAGTTGGACAAGGAATATCTAAAGGTTGTAGGTTAGCGACCCTTAAGGACTTGATTTGAGGACCCCTGACTAGGTCATATAAATATATGCTGACCTACATCAATTATGTGCAGTCAGTCCTGAAGGGCCAGAATCCTACATGTTTTAGTCCCTGGTTCAACACATCTGGATCAAATGACTGCTCGTTACCAGGCCCCTGTAGGACATGACATGCTGAGGAGGTCCGACCACCAAGGGGAGAATTAAAACATGCAGGAGGCTGGCAGTTGAGGACAGACTTTGGACAACCCTGACCTACAACATTTCATTGTGTGCCGTCTCAATGTTTTTTTGGGAAAAGCTTTTTTCTCAGGACTTTCCTGCATTTAACTCTACCCATTTCCCCATCCCCGCAGACTAGCTTCCCTGTCTCTGCCAAAGAAAAGCATGCTGCCTTTATTATGTTGAACTGTAGGAGATGGTTTCCTAAGTTGGCCAAGAAGTTCAGTTTTGTTATCGCTTGAACAAGGTAACTTCTCCCACGTATTTGCTGTATCCCATACATGGCCTGCAGGATGGCTCCTGAATTTCTTTCAACCTGACTTCACTCTTCCTTTAAGACCAAATTTGTTCAGTTCAACACTAATAGTTGTCAACAGATTATTCCACCTAAGTTGATTATCTCTACAGCTCCTCCAGTGTTACAATGGGCCTGTTGGCTGATTCTCTCAAGTTTGAATGTTCTCCTTACCTCGATAGGAGTTTGCAGTTGTGTCATAACCTTTCCATTTTTAAATGATAGAAGAACGTTCCTTTAGACATTCCTTCACTCTGCTTTTTAAACTTCAACAACTTTGTCTCCATCTGATTTGTTTTGTGGTCTTCATGACAAGTTGTTCACTAATGTTCTTTCATAGAACACCTCAGAGGATAGTCGCTTTTAATGCAGAGATTAAATTACACGCAGGTAAACTACTGGCAAACTATTTACTGGGTGAATTATTAAGGATTTAGGGGTATCAGGCAAAAAGGGGATACTTATCACTCCATACATTTCATATTTTAATCTAGAAAATGTTTTAAAAGATCATGTTTTCTTATATTTCATATTAAGCGCAACTTTGTGTCCGTCGCATGAAATCCAAAATACTACGAAAAAAGCATGTGGTTGTAACACGTGAAAATTCGAAAAAGTTCAAGGGGTATGAACACTTTTGCGAGGCTCTGAATGACTGTTTTCTTTTCTCAGATAAAGAAGTAGCAAAATGTTATATAGCATGCAAATGAAAAAACTAAAAATGTCATGATAGGCAGCAGCAGGAATATTTCAGCTTTCATGACAAAAAGGGAACCCATTTTCAGAGAAGCTCTGCTGTTAGGTAAACATCTTGGAAAAAGGAAATCTGTGATCATAAATACTTTGACAAGGATAAATATTCAAAAGAGAAGGAAGTTGGGAAAACTAGATTTCTGTTTTGTGCCAAACTCTAAAAAAAAAAAAGTCACACATGCAACTTAGCATTATTAATGAAGGCACATTTTCCACATGCAGAGGGTGTGACAGGCAAACTTATCATTCACACATCAGCATTCAACTAGAAATCAGATGGCAGAAGGAACTGAGCACTCGTGTGCAGACTTCACAACAGGGTTGGGCACTCTGCCTCCTGTTTTGGATCCAAAACTACTCCATGGGTGCAAAAAAAAAAAAGCATTTTTTTCCTTTACCATGCTTTGTCTAAAACTGAACAAACAGCATCATTTGCCCCATAATATTTACAAGATTCTACACTTTGACTCATGAGTACATGGAATGAGTGCACAATGAATGGATGAAATCCACATCTTTCTAATGTGTGTGAAGCCCGTGGCTTATTATGAAGGCTACACTTCTCGCGGAACCTTAGAGCATCTAAGAAAAGTTGTGGATAAGAGGAAAAAATAAAAGACAGACCCAGACAGGGAGAGGGGCTGCAGGAAATGAAGAGTTTCCTAGTGTCTTTCAGAGCTACCACCCTGCCAAAGAGAAGAACCAAATGAAAACCGCTTGGATGTGACTGAATGAAAGACAGAGACAGGCGACAGGGAGAGGAGGGAGGAGGGATCAGAGGAGGCATTAGTGGGAGTCATGCTTGTTTGAGGGTAGAGTGTATATTGGTCATATAACATGACCAAAACAGGAGATCTCTGGCTTCCAAAAAAACCAACCAAAACAAAAAAAACAACAACAAAAAGAAATAAAAAAAGAGGGGAGGCAAGCAACCCATGCATGCACACTAACTGAGGCAAGCAGGTTATAAATTCATCCCATCAAGAAAAATAAATGATCCAAACAAATGGACTGGAGTCTATGAAGCAAAGGAAGTATAAGACCAAAAAAATAAATGGAGTGTTTCACAGTGCACATCATCACAGAGAGAGAGGAGCTCGGATACCAGCTGCTTCCAACTTACTTCCATATTGCTGTCTAGTGATCCTGCACTGCTGCGACGCCCTCGCTTGCCTGCCCGAGACATGCAATACCAGAGATTAGAGATCGACAGCACTTCCTGGGTCGACTACAGACGTTCCGGCCGCCCAAAACCAAAAGTGGGTGTGGGTGGGGTGGGGGGCGGCGCAGTGGCTTGTGACGGTGAGTAAGATCCAAATACAAGAGATAGAGGGGGATGGAGAGAGGGGCGTTCAGGTCTGAGAGGGAGGTGGTGGGCAGGTGGAGCTTTGTTTTTTTTTTTTTTTTTTTTTACTTCCAAGTCAAATTAGAAATCAGTGAAGAAAAAAAAAAAATTACGTAATTTTAACCGGATTTTCCATTACGGTTTAGTCTAAATTTAGTTCGTATCGGGAGATCCTAACTCCCAGGGTTATTTCTAAATCCCATCACAAGGTTCATTAGCGGAGCAAAAATGTCAACAGATTTTCTCTTGAGTAAATTGAGACAACTCACTGTTAAGGTTGTCAGGCAGGGCAAAAATAAAAAAAATCAAAAATAAATAAATAAAAGCCAGTCTCAGCGAGAGTCACAAAGCAGAAGACAGATCAGAAGCAAAACTGTGGCTGCTGCACATTCGATGTGTGGGCACATCCAGGTCTGAGGGTGGAGCTTTAGGGCCCACTCAGCCAGTGATATATGACCAATAATTACACATTAACAGGAAAATACCTGATGTGTATGGACAGTAAAATACATGTGGAATGGAGTATGGAAAAATAAAATAAAACAAACAAAAATGACCCCACTAACATGCCACATCCTGCACAGAAAAAAACAACAACAAAAAAAAAACAAAAAAAAAACAAAAAAAAAACACAGGAGACAGGAGGGCAAAAGGGACGACTATGAACTACCTGACCTGGAGTTTTCCCCCTCTGAGGGTTGAGCGATGCAACAAGAAACCTCAAGCTCAGAACTGTGAGGCAGACCCCCCCCCTAACTGGATTTCATCGTGTTATCAAGTTAATCACCTGATAACTTTCACATAGCTGTTATTTGTAATGAATGACATGTATTCCTGATTCTAAGGCACAGTTATACACACTGACGTACGTGGATATGGGGTGATTCTCAATGCAAAGACTATCTTCATCTTGTTGCTGTTCAGATTGCGGTTTGCTTACAGGTGAAAGGAGACGGCATGGGATTTCTGAGTAAAACGTGTGTGTTAAATGTCTTTAGATATATATATATATAAAAAAAACAAAAAAAACAAAAAAAACTGAGGAATGTAAAAATGCTTGGGAACAAAAAAAAAAAAGCAATCATAAGAATGAGGAGATGTTTAGAAAGAAATTTAATCAAATAAAAACGAGTGAGAACTGCCCAACAGTTTATTTATTGATCAGGAATAAAAGTTCAAAAGCTGCTAAACCTTTTCTCAATCAAGTCACTCTTAAATACAGTGTGTTGAAAGAGCACCCTTTGACCTTTCTGACATTTTGAGGTTTCAACAACAAACATCAATACATCAGTGTGTAGTATTAGGATTCTATGGGATACACCAACACAAAGTAGTGCATAATTATGAAGTTTAAGACAATTATAACCTTTTTACATTTGTATTCAGCCTGAGTGAGTAAATACTTTGCGATTACAGGTGCAGGTCTTTTGGGGCATGTCTATCAGTTTTACATGCCTAGAATGTTATATTTTTGTCCATTCTTCTTTGCACAATAGGCCAAGCTCAGTGAGATTAGATGGGGAGCTTCAGTAAACACAGAGCTGCAGTTGGACTCAGATGTAAACCTCGACTTGTCCACATTAAAGCATGAGTTTAATTTAGTCTCATCTGACCACAGTACCTTCTTTTCTTCCACATCCTAGCTGTGTTTCCTTCATGGATGATGGCAAACTGTCAACAGCTTTCCTGCATCCTGCAGTTCTCCCGTTGACAGATTGCCCTGCGGGTGACCTGTGAGTCTCTGCAGCTCCTCCAGAGTAACATGAGTCTTCGTTATTAATGTTGCTGCTTCACTAAAAGCTTAGATAAATGGCTCAGACTTTCAACTGAACAGGGCACCGCGTGATGTTTAAAATGTTCGGCTCTTGTTTTACAACTTAGCCCAGCTTTAAATTTCTCCACAGCCTTATCCCTGACCTGTCTGGTATGTTCCTTGGTCTTCGTGATGCCGTTTGTTTTTTAATGAACATCTGAGACCTTCACAGAACAGCTGGATTTATGTGAGATTAAATTACACACAGCTGAACTCTATTTATTAATTAGGTGACTTCTGAGTGGTTTCACTGGATTTTATATACTAGGGGTTATTTGAGTAAAGGCTGGTGAACACAAATGCAGATTTTTTTTCTTTATTATTGAAAAACCATGGGAGATTTTTCTTCTGCTTCAACTATGCACAACTTTGTGTTTGTCTATCAGATACAATTCAAATAAAAAGTATTGTAACCTGACAAAATGGGTTAAAGTTCAAAGGAAATGAATACCTTTGCAAGACACTGTAAACCCCTGAAAAAGAGAAACCCAACTTCTAATCCAAACCATCCAATCCCGAGAGGGTTAATGAATTCGGAACGAGGAGGACTTTAAAAATCAATGTATGGTGCAGTGACAACATTTTGCTATTTTTATCCCCTTAAACTTCTCGGCAGAGAGGAGAATAAGAAAAGCAAACTGCTTTTTCTTTCAGTGTGAAAGCCAGCTGGCAGAACGCAAGCTCCGTGTTTTCGCTCTACCTGCTTCGGAGAGGTCCCGCAGGGAGCTGCTGAGGGCGCTCCTCTTCAGACCCTCGCCCATGGCGTAGCTGTCGTCCAGACTGGCCCGGTTCATGCCCCCGTTACCGGCTTCCTTCTTCAGGCCGGAGCTTTGAGACATGCTGGGCCTCACCACCCCCTTCTGCTTCTCCAGCTCGGCTGTGGAAACGAACCGTGGAGACACCGGGGTTTAGTGACAAGGACTCGACTGACATAAAGACATTTCAACATCCTGCGCTTTATTTTAGCACCACCTCTGCATGTCCAGAATAATCTGAGCTGTGCTGTGACCTCTCGTAATCTACTTCCTTATAAACTGAAGCAGCTGAATAATGAGGACCATGCCCTGTTTCTGTTTAACTTGGCCAGAAAGAGAGAGAGAGAGAGAGAGGGAAAGAGAAAGAGAGGGGGGATGGGAGGGACAAAAAAAAAAAAGTCAGCCAGCTCACACTCTATTCTGTATTTCTCCATTTCCTGGACCTCTGCAATTGACTCTCTCAGGTCGTCTGTGAACTTCTTTCGGTCCTGGGGGTTGGGCGCGTTAAAGTTGATGAGAACTTTGATGTCTGCACCTGGTATTGCTGATGTAAGTCTGATTCCATTTGGGTAATCTGGAAAACGAGGGAGCAATTTACAACCGGTCAGTTCGAGTCTGGAAGGTTTGAGTAGCGTACTGGCTTTATCAACCTCTGAGATGCAAACTGTCATATGAAACACTCACACTGGTTTTCAAACAGCATCACTTGCATCCCATACAGAGAGAAGGACTGGCGGAAGCTGTATGTAACCGAATTCTTCTTCTTCTGGAAAATCTTTGTTACCTGAAATCAAAAAAAGTAGATTGCTTTTATGGGCCTGGGGCGGAAGACGGAGAAGGAGCAAAGAGGGAGGTGGAAAGAGCAGACGGCTTTTACCACGAGGAGGTCATTGAACAGGAAGATCTCCCGCTGATGCAGGCCCAGCTTCTGAGGCTTGTTGGGGTCTGGCACTTCAAACAGCCGGCAGTAACACACCAAACGTCGATGGGGCAGCGACAGCACCTACGAGGCAAAAAAAAAAAAAAAAAAAAGTCCCCACAAAAGCTTTAGAGGTTATTATGGCCTCAATCTACAGACTAATAGGGAACAGAAGTGTGTTGCAGATACAGCAACTTGGATGAGTCACAAATCATTTAATGAGATTAATAGGCTACTTACACATCCCAGTCCATGGTGGAGTGAACCAATCTGTAGAGAGAGGACAGAAAATGTTGCATTTTGCAGTTACTTTTCAGTTAATGTTGAAATAAAAATCTTTCTTAATTAAGTCAATGCCCACTATAAATAACTCTTGAAAATCGTGCATCCAATAAAACTAGGGGTGAACCGATAAATATGCCGACTCATAACCTAACCCCGTACTCCTTAATTTTGGGAGATCGGCTCATGCATGAGAAAAAAGATCTTATTTACAAATCTTATCCATCTCTGTGCAGGTCTAAAAATCCTCCACTGTCCCATTTTGCTACGTGACTGACAGACCCAAGAACCAGGTCATGTCTGCATATGAGCAGTCAGTTAACTTTGACTTTGTCCTTTATTTAGCAACTTTTCAGACAAAGAAAATTGGTATCAGGTTTGTTAAAGATCAGTGATCTTTGAAAATAGCCAATTTCTGAGAGTCAGTAATTTCTGACGCGATTATTATGAAGATAAATAACTAGCTAGGTTTCCAAGATTATTACTCAAATTTGCAAATTTTAACAATATGTATTATATATAAATTACATTTTCTTTGTTGAATTTGAACGACACAAATACATCAATAACACTATAATAAATGATACAACCATTTAGTTATTACTAAGATCCATAGAGTCAGTAGAACATGTAATAAGAATGAAAAAAGGCACTTTTTTCACCCAGTGGTCACTTTTTAACAGAGTACATGATTTCTAAGAGTGCAGAAGTAAGATTAGTGTCCTCTAAGCAATGTGGTGGACGAACCTTGTGATGAGTAGCATTTACATCATTGTAGCTGACAAAACTGCACAAATGCAGCATTTAATTTACTCGATTTACAATTTTGTCAGCAAACCTCCAACAATTGAACACATTTTTATTGAAGTGAGGAACAAAAACCAAGAAGTGCTTCTAAACTTATTTGATTTTTAGTAACAATTTCAGATTACTTTGCTTTCTGACAGGTGATATGGGCAAACATGAAGGAGGACAGTTGTTTGGGAGGAATTTGGCCATAATGAAATGCAGTTTTGCAAAGAAATCAAATAGAAAAACAAAGAATTAAACAGATTTTAAAATCAAGTTAGAGTGGTAAATGCTACAAAATTAAACATGTTAAAAATATCTGATATTTTATTCTGTTTTTCCAAAGACTTTATGTCATAAAAAGATTGTGGAATGAACAGAATCCGGTTTATTGCGACTTTAGATCTGAATATTTTGGTGGTGAACTATGGTCATGGATAAATGCAGCTTTGACCAGACTGATCCGAAAATAGAACTAGTTCTTGTTCAGGCTGAACTTGTAAAACACTGCTGCTATGCAAACCAAACCTCACGAGCAAGGCCTCACAGGTCAGTCACAGTTTTACCCTTTACACATGACAGACAGAGACAGCGCCGCATGCTGAGCAGTGCAGACCAATGTAGAATAATGGAGGTGTGTTCACTGCTGGACGGATAAAAGGCTCAATCACATCCAAATCTGGAAACGGTTTCAATTAAATATAGAAATAACACTGGCCTCAGTGTTTCAACACTGCAGGTAAGTTTCTCTGAAATCTCATAGTTTCTACAGCGCGTCAAGGTGGAGTCATGTAACCATTTGTTTTAATCAGGGCTGCTGCACTGGGCAGCACGTCTCAAGGGCTTTGGGTGTGTTAAAATCACCAGCATGAAGGTCTATATTCAGACATGTCAGTAATTTCGCAAGTGTAGCCAAAGGCATACGCACCATTTCTGACCTTAAATTCCTCACATTTCCCAAACTTTATCATTTCTGATTCGACTTGTAAAAGATCATTTTAGACTGTGAGTAATTAGGTAAGAGATCAATCTCTTCAATTTCACCCAAAAAGACACATGATGATGTCAACATCTCTGTGACTGTAATAGTAAAACAAGTATGATTACTCACTGGTTTCTTTCCCACTATGAGTTTTTCCACCTTCTGCACCTGTGACACGTGGTCTTCATTAGTCTTAAGCTCTCGCTTGCGAATCCTCTCATAGATGCCGACCAAAGTCTCTCTGGGTATGTCCTCCCCATCATCCACACCTGGAGAAGACAAAAGAGCTGATTTACTGCACCAAGCACATTAAAAAGGATTTATACTATACATCTGTTAATTAATATTTTTGGATGACAGTTTGAGAGACTGTCTTCCAGAAATAAAGCATCCAGAAAAAAAACAAAAAAAAAAACACCCCTCCATATCTATTGGCATTTTGTGGTAAACTAGGCAGAATGATTTAAAATAAATTCATTTAAAACAAACTTAAATATTGAAAATGAATCCAGCCTTTATTTTTGATTTCACGTATTAAGTCTGGGGAAAATCCTACTTTAAGCATTAATCATTATTGGTGCCACATCAGCAAAGAAAGTAGTTTTTAATTTACACTTAAATACTTGGGAGTTCATCCCAGATTTTGGGACTTATTATTAGTAATCGATGACTTTGCGTTTTCCTGGGGTACAAATGTGCAGTGACAGCAATTTCTTTAGGTCACTGACCGCTAGACTGGGTGAGGACATTCATTTACTGTCTGAAAGAAAATAACAAAAATTGGCACATGGTAATGATCTACACCAAACAGTAACATCTTAGGATCATCAAGTGTCCAGTCTAATGTAAACCAGCTGCCTGGTTTACATTAGACTGTAAACCAGTTATAAACACAAAAATGTACTATAAGATTTTAACTGGAATGAAAGCTTATAAAAGGCCTGTTGCATATTTTACCAGGCATACCAAGAAACAAAGACAGCCCAGAACCTACAACCGTAATTTAACAGGCCATTTATAACGGCCATTTCCTAAAATCTGAGGAAGCCATGCTAAAGACAAGAATCGCAAAGCAGCAGTAAGAACCACATGTGTAGGTTTAATGTTTGACTTTCTCTTAACTCTGACCCTTTTCAGTATTTTCGTCATAGATGGATATTGCAAGAACTGCAGTTATTGCTGCATAACGACTCAAGCGTTGCACCAGTAGATGCATATCTACATCTGTAGAGCAACCTGGTGGAGCAACCCTCTTTCTGAACTCATCTACAATTGGCTAATGTCTGCATTCAATGAGGGGAGGGGCAACCGGACCTTAGCTTCCTGGAATGCTTTTTAAAAGCACAATATATATTTTTTTTTTTATCCAGATGACTTGCTGTGTCAGAGTATTTTAAGTTTCATTTAAGAACAGGACAGGAAAACCAAACCTTGTACTGTAATTACATGGAACACACATCAAAAACATTTTTTTTTTATATACATCCATAAACTTTTTTTTACTTTGCTACCTCTTAAATTCTTGATGAAGTCTTCCAGTTTCATTTTCCTCTCTGGCTTGACGTTTGGGCTGTACATGTCAGTGTTGAGAAGAATGATGGCGAAGGCCAGGATGAAGATGGTGTCGGGGTTCCGAAACTGTCGCACCACCGTGGGGTTACAGATGCAGTACCGCTGGCTGAACATGCGAAAACACATCAGTTTACAACAAAGAACACATACAGTTTAGATCCCTTTCATTGTGAGGAAATACTTTCAATGCTGTTCAAGGAAAGCAGAAGTAATGATGAAAAAAGGTCCTCTTTGTCTACAAAACAACTATACAAACAATAGAAGAGTAACTGTAAAAATTGCAATATTTTACTAAGACGTTAACATAAAAATGACTCTCTTTTATTGGTGTCCAGAGTTTGAGACTGTTTTTACTGTGAGATTTGCTGACGATTTGTTTTATGTTTTTACGAGTGAAGTTGTCGCTCGTAGTCTGACCTGAACGCTTCAATGAGCCGCTCCACCTTCTGAGCTTCCCCTTGGACACGGATGTGGTTTTGAAACTTCCTAAGGGCCTCATCCAGCTCCATGCTCTGGAAGTCCATTTCATCTACCACACAGCTGGTACACGAGGAGAGAAGATGGAGTTCCAGAAGTAAAGTTAACAAACACAGAATGTGACCATTTTCACAAAATAGATTTTTAACTGTATTTAAGAGTATTCAATCAAATACACTAAATATTGCACTTTAGAGTCATAAAACCTACAAATTCTTAACAGTAATAGTAATAATTAAAGCTACAATGGGTCTTTATTTTAAAACACTGACACAAAAAGACCCTTTAGAGACAGAACCCTACAGTCACATGGCTGTAAACAAAGTGGAGTTTTGCTACAGAGTTTATTTATAGTGTGTAGGATGATCTGGAGAGTCCTGCAGGGACCACTCATTAAAAATAGTGTTTTTTAAATATTTTTTTTAATATGAAGCACTTGGCCAAGGAATAGGTTACAATTAGACTCACATATTTAAAGAAAGGACCAACATAAAGCAGATCCCTCTTCATCAAAGTTTGTGCTTCAGCCATGTCAGACAGATTTAGCAGGAAGTTAACATCCAGACTAACAACAGCAGCTCCATTAATATAGTGTAACATAAAACTGAGATATATAACACAAATTTGTAATGCAGAGAAAAGTGAAACCTGCTCAACCACTGCTTGGCTCTCAAATATAAAATTTCTAGCGGCACCAGAGAGTTGGAGAAAAAAAAAAGAACATGTCAGAGTCACATCTGGTCAAATCTGTAGTAGAAATGGCAAAGTCTGCTAATTACAGTTTTTCTCGCAGTCAACCATTTGCCATAAAATGCTGGCAGACTGGGATTGCCACAGAACGCTTTTAAATCTCTGGGTGCATTGCTGGTGTGTTGGGTCTCCAAGATACTGCTTTCAGATAACACTTGTTCCTTCTCACTGAGTAAATAGCACAGGGTAAATTTAACACCGTGATCCATGGCTACTTTTGGCTCCATTCTTGACATTCAGACATGAAAACGGATGCAAATATCACAAGCTGCAAACCCGAGAAGCAATTTGCTTCATTGTAAATAAATAAATGTAAACATTTTGGAAAGTTCACTTGTTAGCTTAAAGGAATGACCACTATAATAACACACCTATGAATAAAAGTTTCCTTTTATTTAAATTAGTGGGAGAATTGAATAAAAAGAGAAGGAAAAAAAAAATCAGACTTACTCCAGGACATCTCTGTTGAACTGTTTTTGTCGATTGCCCAAAAATTCTCCAATCATCTGCCTGCTGAGCCCTTTCCTTTGAAGTAGGAAGTGGGCAACACCGACTGGGGTGTCAGGAATGAACCCCCGCTCGGTCAAGTACTGGATGCCCTTCTCGGGTTTCCTGAAATTTCAACATGCAGCATTATGTTAGAATTTTAATCACAATTTTAATACTTAATGCCAGAACTGGAGAGAATGATCTGTTACTGCTTGAGCTCTCTGAAAATTCCTATTGAAGACATCTTCAGGCGAGCTAGTTGATCATTTTCATTCAAGCATAAGATCATTGAGGTGGGCAAAATGATACATTTATTTTTAATTGCTCCTGGAGTCATCATTATCATTTGGATAATGGGGAAACATTCACACGGTTTTAAAACTGAAAATAATCTGTTAGAAACCTCTTATCGGCAATATGTCTGTAATTTAATAGTCAGTTAGGTTTAGCTTCTAACATCGAACTGTGACATTCATCTGACTCTGCAAAACAAAACTAAATCTCTGTTACACAACAAACACAAAGCGACTATTTATTTATTTATTTATTTTTTCAAAAAGCAACTTTAAGACTGACTTTGAACTTGATATAGACACAACTGGATGCAATTTATAGAGCAAGAGAGGCCACAGCTTCTCCAATGGCTTTGCAATCACTCAGTCTATTTTCTTGGTACTAACAAGAAAAGTCAAGCAGCTGCTCCATCACAGCTGAGTACGTACTTGTTGAAAAGATTGAGGCCGATGCGGTAGTGTCTCTTGCGGATCACGTCATTGCTGAAGATTGGCGAGTCCCAGCTGTTTCGAGTCTCTTTGTGGTAGGTCTGCTTACTTAGCGTCTGCTCTCGGAGGCTGTCCCTCGACGAGGACTCGGAGCTGCAGTTTATGGTGTCGTTTGAGTTCGATGTGCTGTTGATGCTGTCGTTGTCCCCATCTGAGAAGTCTGATTCAGACTTGCTCTGCCGGTTTGCCGAGCCGTTGATGGCCAGGTGGCTTTCTAGCTGCCGGTGGCGGTGGCGCAGAGGCGCGTCATCGTCGCGGGAGGGCGCTCGTGGCGGGGGTCCGTGGGATATGTGTTTGGGGCTCGCCTGGGAGGACGTCACGATGTGGCCGTGAGGTTCGTATACAGGCGGTCGTTTGACAGAGCCGCGGTCAGAGCGATCACTGAGCTCAGCTGAACTGTCACTTGGAGGTTCTATGGTCAGAAGAGGGAGGTGGTCCACTCTAAGACGCTGTTCTTGGCACTCTAAAGAAGGAGTGCTGCGGCAGCTAGTGTCTGTGTCACGACCCTCATCTTTAGAGTCAATAGGCCAGTACTCCTGGGAGGAGTTTACTGACTGCAGCCGTAAGTCTGATTCTGTACTGGACGGCTGGTCTCCTGACCTCAGAGCAGCAGGGTGGGAAATGTCGTCCTCATCGATGAACAAAGTAACGTCACTATACGATGCAACAGTTTCGTCTCGCATCCGTCCAGCTGGCCTCCGGTGGGACTTCATCTGATAGGGCACTTCTCCCTGCACTTTGGAGCAGCCCATAGCCTCAGGGTCAGGCCCCTCGTCCCCTTGAAGGCTACGACAGTTGAGTGCATCGTCTATGGACTCTGCCAGAGACTTAACCTGCCTGGAGAAGGCGTCCTCCAGCTCCGTGATGGCATCGGTCAGGTCAGCCTGCGGCGGCGGGTGTGACGTCATGTTTGCCTGCTGGTGGACTTCCACGTCCCCACGTTCAGACTGCACCATGGACAGCGGGGTGCCGTCCTCAGTCATGGACACCTGCCTCCCTTCAAAGTATGAGCTGTGCACTTTCTCAGGGCCCTCAAACGAAAGTTGCATCCTCATGTTAGAAAGAACGATGCGTCTGGACATACGGTTCTCTGACATAGAGCTCCTGAGACGTTCAAAGTTCTTGTTCATCTGATACTGCCTGAAGGCTGTCTGAATGGTGCGAGCTGCATGCCGAGTTATGAACCTTCCACCGTATTTACGCTCCAGCATTTCCACCTAAGCAGAGGAAGGAGAAAATTAACTGTAAACCTGCACCACCACCAGAGCACTACAGTAGTTGGGCGCACAAGTTAGAATTTATTGTGGCTTTCCTCTAATCAACATGTTTGGAAATTAAAATAAAAGATTAATGCCTACTAATAAATTCACCTCAGATGTTAATTATTAATATTAATTAGAATTAAATGCCCCGCAGAAAATTGGGAACCACACACATTTTGCAGCTATGAAACAGCCTCTGACAGACTTCTGTTTCTATATTTAACCACTGTTATCAGAAATGGTATAGAGGTCATTTAAACTGGTTAGTTTTTCTAGAGGGGATCTGGTTTTTAAGCTCTACATTTTCAGCAAGGTGGAAGCTGGTGCTTCGTAAAGCCAGAAGTTTTATTTTCCCATTCCATTTTGATGCTTCTTCCTTCTGTATGGGAACATTCACTTGCAAACAAATGACAACTATCCTAACAGAAACTTTCACTCTGCCAGTGAACTGGAAACTGTGAGAACACTAATGTAACCGGATGTAGTAAATAAAGAGTGGGTGACAACCAAGAAATACACCTGTGCTCCAAAAATGATCTCATGGTGAAGAGTTCACACACAAGTAGCTTGTAGTAGCTGTCAAGCAAGGTGGTGGCGCCATTTTGTTGATGAGCCAGCCTGGTATCAGATGTACTGGTGTAATTTAAATGGTGGATGGAAGTAAGAAAAAGGAGGCGCTGCCTCAGTACTAGATCATCCCCTGAACTCAAAACACTTAACAAAACTGGTTTTCTGATAAATCCAAAAAAATCTAAATTTTTTTTTTTTTTTTTTTTACAACTACAAAATAACTCAAACTTGGCAAGAGGAAACCAATCCAGATAACTTCTAGGTGTACCTGTTTATCCTGAAGGTCAGCAGAGAGCTCATAGCTCTCAGAGAGAGAACGAGACCGCTTGATGGCCTCCTCCTCGGCCTGCTTGCGGAGGATGGATTGCGAGTGCTGGAGTTTGGGCCGACGGGGCCTCTGCGGCCCGGGTTGGACCCCGTGGCTGTAAAGCGGGCCGTCGAATCGGTCGGGGCTGATGGCCGAGCCGTGAGTTACGGGACCCTGGCCGTAGTTGGCTCTGCCGTCCAAGGAAGGACCGCTCTCACTGGGCCGTCCATCTCCTTCCACACTGAAATCAGAGCAAAGGGATAGGGAGCGATTTTAAAAGGAGTGACAGAGATATTTTAAAGTTTGGGTCTGGATATATTGAGATTATATTTTGACATTAGAAAGCGGGTTGGCTCTAGGGATTTATAAGCTTTTTCAAATGAGGTACTGAAACCAGCAGATTAATTTTTATAAGCTAAACATGAGAAAATGCTTGTTCTAACATCCTTTATCTGAAGTCTAATGAAATGAAGTACTTTCATCAAGTTCAAAGAGGTTAGAACACATTACTTACAATAACCTTTGAAATGTTTAAGTCAGAAAACTCCAGTGCCACGTAAACAGTCTCAAACAGTCAGACATCTATTACTTTTCACAAACTCCTTTCGTTACTTACACACTCTTGTGCTCTGAAGCCCTACGAGGCGATGGCTTACTGCGAAAAGATCGTCTGTTTTCAAAAAAATGCCAACTCTTCCTCCATATCTTGTCCACCATTCTTTCAGTCAAGTTAAGTCCAGAGTACACAGGCTCCTCCAGGAAACCAAAGTTTATGCAAAGTTAAGGGCCAATCAGTGACCAGTGGGGAATTACATCATGTGTGCAGGCGTGACGACACACTGTTCCACTTCATGCTACAAAGTCCGGTTTAGAACAGAAGCACAGAGCAAATACAGCTTTCAGTAAATCCTTAAGCGAGATGAGATGTTGCTGAATGAGTTGCCGATCTGCTCAATCAGTCACACCATGCCAACATTCCTTCTCTGCCACGGTATGGTGTGCCCACAGTTCACTCACAGGCGAATGTGTTTGAACTGTGACTTGACACACCCATACAGTGTACACAATCCACTTCCTTCATTAGAGGGGCCTGAAATCAACATGCAGCAGTGGCAGCAGCCTATCAAACAAGAGAAAGCTGCATTGAGTGAAAAAAGGGGAACTGAATGACTTCAGACTCCAGATGCATGCAGTTTTGCAGTTCAACTTAGTACAGATTAATTGATTTGAAATGCATGCCGGTGAAATGACAGCAACTGAAAGCACTATTAAATCTTTCCGAAATTTTAAACAAAAATAAATCTGATTCGATGCACTTTGTAGCTGACCCAAATTCTCCTTTCTTCCTTGTGGAAGTGTATTTCTAACACCAACAGTATGTGTTATATTTTTTTCTGTAGTTATGCTGCTTCTACTGCCAAATTGAATAGCTTAGCTACATTTTTGGGAGAGCGTAGGACGGATTGATTAGTTTTATAGACAAATGCAAATCATTTGGAGAATTTTTGTGACCTTGCTTCAGGAAAGTATTTAAATGTGAAAGCTCAAGACAAGCCGACAGGAAGCGGTTGCTAAGTTACCAGCACGTCTCATACTGTAAGTGTGCACATGGGATTGAATGGATTTTACACTTTTACCTGTAAAAAAAACTAAAACCTAAAGGAAAGTCATATTTTAATATTGTTTTGGTATTTATATCCTTGTTTTTCCATCTGTCATAGACAGAAATTCTTATTGACATTAAACTTTGAATGGGCATCTGATGTCATCATCACATTGGATTAACAGTCAGTGTCAACTCTAGGCGTGTTTAAATTTTTAAGGGGAAATCATAAGACGAACAAAAGAACAATGTGGCTAGCAAAAATACTGCAAATGCAAGCAATCCAATTCATTTATTTGATCATAAATCAAAGTTTATGATTGTCTGTTTGCAAAAAAAAAAAAAAAAATAAGGCATTTATGTAATTTCTTTGCAAACATGTTCTTATTCACAATCCTGCAAATTCTAAAGAACAAAAACAATTCCTTAAAATAGCAAAGACTCTGAGGAAAATAAATTTAAAAAAATCCACTATTGTAATTTAGCTTTTTAATTCAGACAAATCTACCAGGACTGCATACAATTTAATTTAATTGAATTTGATAAATTCAGTCAAGTTATTGGTCCAATACCAATATGTTAAAAAATGACTAACATCGGCCAATAACTGATGTTGATGCTGATATATATATATCGTGCATCCCTATATGAAATGAATTAGTTCATCTTTTAAAGGCGTTGAAATGACGTGTTCGGAATTTGTGCTATGCAATTAACTAACTGAAAGTAACTGTTAACAGTTTCTTTTTCAGGGCTGCATGTAGACAATGTTCAACTGAGATTGAGAATACAGTAGCAGGGAAAAAAAAAAGAAAAAAAAAAAGAGCCACGCTTTTATACTGCTGCCGCAACACCAGAGCGACCACAAGTCACTGAAAATCCAACTTCATTGCATAATCACCACTGGGACAAATCTCTCCAGCCATCTGTCATGGCACTCCAAAGCTGCTATTCTGTGAGTTAAAAGTGACACCTTGCCTTCTGTCGCAGAGCCAGAATACGGATGAGAGGTATCTCTGATTTTCTACAGCAGTCAGCAGAGGTTTAATTAGAGATGTGGTTAAATGAAGGTTAGAAATGCTCGAATGCTTTTTTATTTTGAAAGCAATAATGACCACCAGTTGGTGGACAGTTTGCTTCTTAGATGCTCAGTATAAATTAGAAGTTGAGAATAGATTTCAAATAAATCTCTGAGAACCAGAGATGGGGCTTTGGGACTCTTAGACTTAAGATTTTAGACTCAAGTCACACTTAAGTCATAAAATCAGACTTTAAGACTTGAATTACACTCTAAAGACATGAAGTTTAGGACAAAAGTTTCATAAACAAGCTAATCTCATATCATCATAGGTGAAAGTAAGAGTGAACGATTTGAGCAATTTATCGTTTTCCCCACTTAATTGCCATAGTGAATACTAATTGTCATGGTAATATTCTGAAACAGATAAATATGTTAAAATGTAAATTAGGCTCAATGATGACAATTTGAATTTGTAACCTACAGCACTTCTTGTTTTAGGCATCCAAGACAGAAGCCATCTGTGACAATGAATTTCAGTAATTAGACACATTGAGCTTACCTTGGACAAAAATGAAATAATATACATTTATGATGAATTTAAATTCAATTTTCTTTTTTTTTTACACCCCAGGTCATCACTGCAAACTTCAATTTACTTTATTACTACGTTTAACATTGTTCAGCAAATGCTAACAAGACTCTCTGCTAAACTAACACAGGTAAAATGCAACTCTGCAAAATTATTAAACCTCATGCTTAGGCAGAATTTCAGTAACATGATATTTTTTTTTAGTTTAAGCCCTCAACTGTCACCCTGAAAACACTTACATCTAAGTCAACAGGCCCATGAGGACACTTGTGTCATCATGACAGTTAAGGTGTCAATCTAAATCACGAAAACAACACAAACTGCATGGATGCATCACTGGGTGTGTTGTCTCACTCCATCCATCGACACTAAGAACATTAACAGCACTGACGCACAACTTTAACTACTACAAAGCTGGCTTCGCCTTTCCCCAATGAGACTCGTGGGGCAGAACCTTTTTTCACTTAAGTGCCTTTCTTCTGCTTCTCATTTAACCATCCAAATATCCAGACCGGTATGGGATTGTGGGTACGTGGAGAAGTAAGAAAGTATGAGTAAGTGCGGCTGTGCTTTTTGCTCTGAGGTCACCGAATACTTGACTGAGTGAGGTCAGCTGCTCCTGATGGAGAAAACTGAGGGAGAAGGTGGAGAACAGAAAACAGAGGAGTTTATATTTTAAGCTGCAATGGACGTTGGAGAGAAAAAGGGAGAGGCTGAAAAAGGCAGGGCATCTATGAGAAGCAAACAGTAAATGTTATGATTTATATTAACATGATGTCGTATATATATATATATATATATATATATATATATATATATATATATATATATATAAAGCACACTGAAATAATAATAATAATAAAAAAAACGCTGTTAAGACATGAACGAGGAAGCAGTGATGTGATCGCCACATCACCTCCTGATCATGACTGGATTGCCCTTGAAATGTGAAAGCAAAGTTGTCGAACAGCAACTGTCCCTCCTTTAGGGTCTGGAGCCCCTTTTGCTTATGATGTAGGGAAGCACAGCAACACGGCTGGCAGTGATTTTCAGATTAAACGATTTGGAGGAGTGGGATCGGGAGTCTGGGGTGGTGGGTGGGGGGTGAGGAGAGACTGGACAATAACCCTCTTCCCCTCTAAACATCCTGAGTGAGCAGACCTAGGCCCTTGCCCAGGCCTCAACCCATTTCATCAGTAGGACCTGGGGGAAAACATTCCTACATCCCGGAAAAGACGAGTCACATCGACAGGAGTTCTGGGAAAAGAAGAAAGCTAATGAGGTGCAGGCAGAGTGAGCTACAGCTTGGAACTAATTTAGTCCCCAAACAAAGTCACAAAAACAGCTACAAAACTGTCAGCTCTCGGAAACATTTAGGAAATGTCTGCACAACAGTAGCCCATACCTTTTTAAGCCTTCCTGTAATAAAAACACAGATAGAAATATGAGATCCTATTTCATTTTTTCCCCCAAAGACAGATGTTAAATTATAAAATGGGTGTTAAATGTTTTTAATTTTAACCAAACAATTCAACATGGTTGTTTTTGATGTTTTTTTTTTTTTTTTTTTTTTTTTTTTTCAGAAAATGGAGATTAAAGTGTCTCAGAGAAACCCAATGCATGCTCAGAGGAAATGTTGCAAAAAAAAGCATATTATACTCATGCATACCACAAAAGTGACTTTTTGTACCAAAGGCAAAAAGCCACTGAAAACACTAAATAGTGTTCTGACTAAATAGAAGCTATTTAGTCAGCTTCTATTTAGCCAAGAAACTGACTAAATAGTTAAATGACCAGCTAACTTGGCTTATTTTACTTATTTGCTTTTAAAACATACTGTTATTATTGAAACTACTTTCTTAATACATTCAAGTCTAACAAAAAAGAGTTTTACAGACGATATAAATGAAAAGCAATGGTCAGGAAAGTGTAATCGTTTTTCATATTCAGTAAAAACATCACATCTAACAATGTGCATCATATTTGGTTTATACATGCATCAGCAAATAATATTTATGTAAAACAAAT